ATAAATAGACTTGAATTCATAATTGATAAAATAAATAAATAACGAAAAGAATAAATGAAATACCTCGATGATTGAATTACTGGAGAAATAAAGTTAGGGTTTAACAATGGAGAGAAAAAAAACTAAGAAACGTTTAATCTGGAAAAATAAAGCATAAGAGAGGAAAATAAAATCCTCTCAAGTATTTATATTAAAGCCTAATCCTAAGTAAAATAAAATAAATTAATTAAAAAAAGGAAATAAAAATAACAAAGGTCGTCTTTTAATTGGTCATGAGAATCACAATCGATGGAAAGCAATCCCGCACGCAAAACCCATCGCCCGATGGGTGGCCGATGGTCGAGTGGAGTAGGCCGTTGACAAGAACCATCGGCCGATGGATTCCCATCGGGCCAGGCAGCTTTGAGGGCCGTGTATGCGGCTAAACCATCGGGCAACCATCGCCCGATGGCTGAATGCTTGGCTGGCAGATTTGCAGGGCCGACTTTGGAAGACTGTAACTCACAATCCAGGAATCATATGAAGGCGTGCGACCTATCATTACAAAGCTCTTCAAGTCTAGTTTCCAACGCAACTCGAATCACCTCAATCCGATCTGTAGAACGCGAGTTATGGCTGAAACAATGCACAAGGGTCCTTTTTAATACTTTACAAACCTTCGCTTTCCTTTGTTTCTAACTCAAATTCAATTCCGAAAAGTGCATGTCGATCCTTGCAGATGCTAATTCAATTCCCACGCATGAAATCCTTAGAGACAACATCCATGAGCATAAAGTCCTCAATCAATAAAACTCGATCCATCGATTTCCATTTTAAATATTATTCGAAACATCTCCAAACACTTCAAAAGCGTCCAAGTGACTATGAAATCACCTGAAACATTAAGAAATACACAAACGAAGCGTAATAAAGCGATACATGATGACTTATGCAAATATGACCCTAAAATCGACCAAAAAGACTAAGAAAAAGGTACAAAAAACTAACATAAACGTGCCTAAGAACCCTATATAAATATGATTCATCAAATTCCCCCAAGCTAAACTGTTGCTTGTCCGCAAGCAACACTAGACTCAAGACGGAGAATAAAGAAAAGCAAGACTTCCAGGGAACCAGAATAAGACTGACTCGACTCTCGAGCAAACTATCAAACCAAGTTAGCGAAACTGAAATCTAGCTCGGATACATATAGAACCACGTAGCACTCATAGTATTGCAATTAACTCTCCAATCTAGAGGCCACAAACAGTCTCTTTCCAAGCTAATCTTCGCCGATTTCCTGTAGATATGCTGAAGTTGAGCACGAGAGGTGCCCTACCAGCTAGGGTTATAACAAACACTCAACCTATACCATGTCGACTCGGAATGCAAACAAATACTCTTTAACTTTGACTCAAAACTCATTTCATTCAATCATAACTTATGCACGAAGATCAAAAGGTCTTTATAAGGGTTGTAATGGGGCTAGGGTGAGAGGTAGGATAAACTTTTGGGAAATGTGAGGGATTAGCTAGCTAGGAGAGTGATAGTGATAGTCCACAATAACAACACAATTGAATGCATGTCAAAGATAATCTCGTTTAGCATCTCGCCTCCCAATACACCAAAGTAATTTAATTTCCTCTCCTTCCCTTCTTTCTTCAACAAACATTTCTTTTATCTTTATTTTTTTTTTCTATTTCTTCAGTTTTTTTTCATACCCCATTTATTCTACTTTTTCTCTTTCTTTCTCTTTTTTTTTTCTTCTTTTCATATTTTTTTTTTGAAATAACCTTGAACTTCCATTCAAAATCTCCCTTTTTTGCACCATGAAGCAAATATTTAGCCAAATAAAAATCACAACTCACAATATGGACCACTCCCCCAAGCTAGGCTTGGGAATAGTAACCGATTAAGGCTCAGGGCTTATAATATGGCTAATTCAATGAAGGGTAAAGCTCAACATGGGTTACAATTAGGGAACACATGTACAAAAATCACATCTGGAGGCTCAAATTAAGAAAAGTAAGACCTTTATCATTTCAATCATGCACTCATCACAACCAAGTTACTACGAGTCTCAAGGCAAAATCAAGATCAATGTTGCACCAGGAACTATCACACATACAAAAATATAGACTGTCATAAATAAATGTGACAGTCAATCAATTGGGTTTCAAAAACTCACATGGCTTGAGGTCTACAAAATCTCGACTAGCTATACTAAAAAAGAGCAAAAGATCTTACCACAAACCCATTAATCGCAAGCTACATTGCTACGCAGTTATCAACGTATAAAGCACACCGACCGGATTTCAAAATCATAACTATGATGAGAAGAAGCTCAAGAGAGTCTAATCTAATCCGACACGGTTCGAAGTCAAACATATGTAAGATAGACACAAGAATGCATTATTCGAAAAAACAACTAAACTAAGAAAGCAATACATTTTTTTCGTTACATGTAAACTTCCATCCCTAATAGACGGTACAACCATGCAACACCTACGGAAAGCAATAAAACTATACTATGAAAGCATTAAAAGATAGATATCCCTCCCCCAAGCTAGAAGGAAACACAGTGTCCTCACTGTGGTAGAATAAAATGCAAGAGAGAGAGACGAGAAAGAAAAGCTCACTCAGTAGGAACCTCGTCGACAGAAGAGGTGTCGACTGTAGTGCCATTAGATGTAGCGGTGGTGCCAGAAGCTACTATCTGCTGACGTAGAGAAACAACCTCCGAATTCAAGGCATGAAATCGTTGCTCCAAATTGCCGAAATGATCAATAACCTCCTGAGCAAACGTACTAATGTTAGCCATGAACTGCTTGAACATCTCTATAGTGACTAAATCGCTGCTAGACCCCTCGAAACTGACACTATGACGGAAAGGGTGGGATGGAATAGTCCCACGAGAAGGAGTATGAGAGATTTGTGAATTGTCACCAACCAAAGGCGGAGGGGCCGAAGAAGAACCTTGCTTTGTAGAATGCACACCTGTGAGGATGATTGTTTTGATGTTGGGGTAGGCGGAAACAAAAGGGCATCTGGAGTTCCCATTCGAGTCGTAAGAGTGGGCAAAACAGCATAAGGAGTCGGATGTGAGTCCTTTTCCTCTCCCTTAACCTGCCATACAAACAAACCAATCTTTGGTAACAACAACCATCCATATCGTTCCATGCTCACAGTATCAAGGAGTGCATATGAGTTCAACTTCTTAAAGTAAGACAAATCGATCCCCAGATGGTAGCAAAGACGGTTACAAAGCTTCCCATAGTGATAGGCCATTTCGGCTTGTTTCTCTCCACAAGAAATGCAGCAATGAGGAATTTCCCGAAATCCAATTGACCCATTCTATCTCGATCACCATGTAAGAACCGCCAAAGCATCTTGAAATCACTTGTAGCAATTTGTCCCATCTCTGTCTTTGGAAAGAACACTTGTAGAAGCAAGCGATGTAGAATACGAGGCATAGGGTTCACAATTGAAAAAGACTTAGTAAGACCAACTTTCCAATCATCTCGACCTGTGAGTTCTCTCCAAAACATTTTTTGGTGAAATTGTAATCCATTCTTGTCACCCCAAAACGAGCCAAATTCCGATGGGCCAATAGTTCCATCACAAGGCCACCCGAAAATTTCATTGACCTCCTTTGGTGCCATTGAATATGATACTCCATCAAGAGAAAAAGATATGTCACCATTATCCGACACTACCAAAGAATTAAGAAACTCAATAACCAAATCCGGATAAACCTCTTCCTTCAAATTAAGAACTTTTGACCAACCACACCTTCGACCTATTTCTTGTAAAAAATCGTCAACACCAAGCTTCTTACCATTGTCTTGTGAATAACAAAGTGTTGGTTTGATTTTTCGATCTTGAAGTGAAAAACCAAGGGCTTCTTTACTCAAACTTGAGGAAGGATGAGAAGTGGGTGGAGGGGATTTATGTGGTGGTGCGGTAGATTTTTGTGGTGGCTTAGGATAATTCTTTGAAGGTGGGGCTCTTGCTTTTCGAGGTGGGTTTCTCTTTGTGGGAGTGGATTTTAGTGGTGCAAGTGAAGAAGGGGTGGACTTTGGGTTAGAACTAGTGGTTTTTGTGGTTCTCATGATACAATGTCACAATCAAATAGCAAGAAGCACAAAATACTCCAACCAACACTAGTAATCACAATCTCAAAAACCAAAGTAAGATCAATTCCAATCAACCACCAACCAAATATCAATGTTCAATCACAATTAATCACCATAAACTCAACAACAATTCAATAATATAAGACAAAGGCAAAATTTCCAACTTTTATGTGAATGTGAACAATTCAAAAAGAGAAATTTGATGAAGAATTGAAAATAATACCTTTTCTTGTGCAATTAAGACTATATTGTTGTTGATTTTCTCAAATAAGCATTGATTAAATTGCAATTCCAAACAATTCTCACAATTGAAAAAGAAAATCAAAATCCCTAACCTTGAGAAAAATTAGGGTTCTTCTCCTTCTTTTTTTTTCTTTTTTTCGTGGAGGCCTGGAGGGGGCTGTCCGGTGGCTCGGAGCAGCGCCAATGGGGCGCCGGAAGGTGGGGGGTGGTGCGCGGCTGCGGGGTGGTGGAGAGAGAAGCGATCTGCCTTGGGAAGCGTGATGAACAGTAGCAGCTCTGTTCTTTTTTTTTTATTTTGCTTTTTCATTTTTTTCTAGGGATGCGTGAAGGCTGCCTGGGCGCCAGAACCAGCGGACGCTGGAATTCCAGCGGCCCAGGCAGATTGTTGGGCTGCTGGTGGGAGGCTCGGCCCAGCGGGCGCTGGCCTGCCGCTGGCTTGTGCGGGCTGGCGCCTACTGCTGGCTGCCCCTGCTTTCCCTTTTTTTTTATGAAAACTAAACTTAAATTCAAAAATAAAAAGAACTAAACTAAAAGAAAACTAAATAAAAATAAAAGAAAATGACAAGACAAAGAATTAAGAAATCGGGTTACCTCCCGATAAGTGCTCTTTTAAAGTCATGAGCTTGACTTCTTACCTCTATTTCAAACATCAATTGGTAGATCGGAGAGATAAATCGTCTCCAATTTGCCAATAAAAGCACCCTCGGTATATAGCTTCAAACGTTGTCCATTTACCTTGAATTTCGTGCCTTTTTCACTAGCAACCTCAATGGCTCCGTGTTCTTTGACATCAGTGACTGTGAAAGGCCCGGACCATCTAGACTTAAGCTTTCCAGGAAAGAGCCGAAGTCTTGAGTTATAAAGTAACACCTTGTCACCAATCTTGAACTCTCGTTTTTGGATCATCTTATCATAGAACTTCTTCGTTTGCTCTTTATAGAGCCTATGGTTCTCATAAGTGTAGACAACCATTTGTGTCTCCCCAAAACCAAACCCAGTGATGAGTGCCTTTCACGTTGAATCATAATCGAATGAAACAAAAGTGCGGAAAGGTCTAGTGTTGCGGAAAGTTTTATTTCCTTTCTTTTCTTTTTTCTTCTCTCTGTTTTTGAAAACTTTATTTTTAAGAAAACAGCCAATCTAGTTTGGTTGGTCCATGATATGGGTCCAATAGTGGTGTAGTTGTATGGGGCTTGCAAAGACCTTTTCAACGATATATATAAACCCAATTCCGATGAATATTGAGGAAGTTATGGCCAATTCACTAAACTGGGCCCGGTTTGAGTTTTAAGTACGGCCCAATGTTCTAGGGGAGGGCCTAATATGATTTATCATTCCTAATGTAATTAGGAATGGTTTTGGTCTTCTAGAACATTCTAGAAGGTTTTATCATTCTTAATTCAATTAGGATTCTTCAGAGTTTTAATCAAGATCAAATAGCATTTTCGACTGAAATTATATTATTTTATCTTCCAGTACAATAAAATTATAAGATTTTCGAAAACGCGTTAAAAGCCGGTTTGGCTTCCAACCCCAGGCCTTGGCGCCTGGAATCAGGATTGGCGCCAGACGCCGGCCATTGGCGCCTGGCGCTAGCCACTGGTCCTGGCGCCAATGAGCCAGGGCTGGCGCCAAGTTGGTTTTTTCGATCTTCAGACTCTGCTTTGATAAATTATCTTTTTTGGATGATTTTCTCTATAAATATTGTATCAAAAATTCCGTTTTTATTCACCAATTCTCCTTATTCTTAAGTTTTAATAAACTCCGTTTTCATTCATCATCAACAATCACTTTTTTCAATTACCCATGATCAATATTCATTGACCATTAATCAACTCTTTTTATTAATAAATCTTTCTTCAATTCTCTTCATCTTCATCATTCATTCATCAATTTTCAATAACATTAATCTTTTAGCATTCTTTTCTATACTTTGCTTTTTCATACAAAATTCCGCATTCACAAGATCTTGATACACCTAGCCATATTCGAAGTTGTCTTCGCCCTAGACGTGAAAGGTTTTAATTTCTGAGGGTTTGGTCCCAAATCTCTCTTTCAATTATTTAATTTAATTGTTTTTATTTATTATTTTTCCTTGAAGTTACTAACGTGTGTATTTTGTAATTAGAAAGCGGTACGAGGCATCCAAGTAAGTACTTTAATGGTTTAATTGATTTCATGATGTAGAAATCATGCTTAGATTGTTATTTGTGATTCCTAGTATCATGTCTAGGGTATCTTTAATATTGAGTATGATTAAGTATGATGCTTCTTATGTTCTTTCTAATATTTATGATTATTATTATTAATGATGTTGATTATTTATTATGTTGTTTGATATGCATATTGTTTTATATTGTTATTGCTTGATCACCTTTTATTGCAGGTTAAAAGGAATTGGTATTTGCAATCACGCTTAATAAGATAATTTAATAATCTTGTTTAGGGTTAATTGTGATTATAAATTCAAGTGATCGCCAATAATAGTTTATTTGTGCATTAAATTCAACCAACATAGATAAACAGGTTTAGGGTTAATCCTATTGGTTGTATGTTAATCAGAAAGCGCGCATGAATACGAGCAGAATAAAGTAGAGGCCTATTATTAGGGCAGGTTCAATCTCTTTTAGGTTGGATTTGTACCATCATCCCCGAACCCTTATTTGGTTCATGACCTTATGGAGTTGACGATCTCTTGGATCGTTAAGGGGTGTAACCTTCATCCTATGAACGGTTTACAAGTTCCTTAAAAACTTGTTGGCGACTCTTTTGCTCTATCTTCTTCCCTTTTGGACGCCACCGTACTTTAGTGTATGATCACAGTGGGGTTCAAGCTAGTGGGATTTTAAGGCTTGAAATTATTCCCTACAGTTTTTGGCGACTCCACTAGGGAGGATTTCTATTTTAATTCCTGAATTTGTTTCGGCAATGATTTAGAATGAGTGGATGAGACTCGAAAAGTTCTAAGTATTTCACGTGCGTAATTTTGATTAACATTATTGTCATATGCATAAAAAGGTTCTCATTGGAAAGACCATCCGTAATGAGTCAAAAACATAGGATTTTACACGTAGGAAATTTGAGAAATGTCTTTCACAACTAGGACTGAAATAACACCGCGCAAAACTGGATGATTTTATTGAGCACAGAAAGCTGCTGAGGCATGTGGGAAGTAGCGTCAGGGGCCAGAGCTTGGCGCCACACTTTTTGTTGTAGCGCCAGACGCCAGTATTGGCGTCAGGCGCTACAGTTAAAAGTTGGCGCCAGTCTCTGTTTGCTGGCGCCAATTTCCCCCAATACCGAGCCAGAAATATGCGTTCTAATTTCGACCGGTTTTTCGTATTGTTTGCTCGATCCTACTTCCTGATTGAATTTTTTCTCATTTTTCTGAAACCCATATGTGTTCTACATATGGACATAACCCTCTTGGAATTCATGCTCTATCTACCTGATTGAACGCTCCTGGCAACAAAGGGTACATCTGAGAGGTTGAATTCACCAAACCATGGAAGTGAGTTTTTTCTAACAACTCGCGGTGTTCTATCCACACGCGTTAACCCTTCACGGTTAGGCTTCTACGCGGTGCATCTAGACAATTAACCATGGACCTTGTTTGACTAAACCATATCCCGAACTTTAGAGAACTAGAGCCATGGTTAGGTTGCGAACTCATTGCATCATATTGTGCTTACTTGCCTAATTGTGCATTATTTGTTGTGCATATATATTCTATGCTCCTCCTAACCGTTTGTTGATTTGTGTTGAGATTATAATTAATGACTTAAAGAACTTTGCCTAATTAATTAATTAATTCGAGTCAATAAAGTTTTTTCTTCTTTTAATCGGAATTGACCTAGTACGACTTTAGGCATACCCCAGTTGACTAATAATATCGAAAACAGTCCCAGACCGAGGCTCCAATATTGGTGCCAAAATCTGAGCTGTAGCGCCGCTATATGGTGTGTAGCGCCAGACATTTACTAAAAAGTCTGGCGCCAACCACCATATTGTGACGCCAGTCCTGTCGCTTGGCCGACAGTTCGGATTATTTGTCGAGTCATCACCTAATGTCTAATTAATCAGTTTCCTGTTTAATTCGGTTAATTTTGCCAGCAATAATGCTTAATTGAATTAATATTCGAGTTTAGGCACTAAGTCCCATGGTCTTACACAAGAGTCCAAGCATGTCACTTACACTCAATACACACACTAATACACATGTCTTGACCATGATTAAGGGAGTCTTGTGTGCGCGCGTTATTTTTCGTCATTTTTTTAGGGGGGTAAGTCGGATATTAATCCTCCAATAAATAATAGTACTTAAGTTCCCTAAACACATGTACATTATTGCTCCCTAAAAATACGCATTCTTTTTTAAAAAATAAAAGCCATAAAGTCAAACTGATTCGAGTTAAGTAATTAAAACGCAAACTGGCTTAATTTACAGCGCGTGGTCAAGAAATGAAGGACGATTAATCAAAGATAACCTCTTCGTACAAGTCCAACTTTTCGACAAACCTATAGCTCGCAAGAGGAAAGCAAGAGTTATAATGGCAACTCAGGAAGAAGTTAATGATCTCAAGAACCAACTGGCTACTGTAACTGAGACACTAAAGCTTCTCGCACTTAAGATCGAGGATCCCGCGAAGCAACAACAAATGGACCTCATGCAAGAAAGCCTAAGAAAGTTATCCAGCGACTACAAGTTTCAAGAACTCACATCCCAAGGGGTCTCGGTGGATAAGGATCTTCTTCCACAGAAGTTCAGTGCCAACGACATCCCAAAGTTTAGGGCAATCGACAACCCCTACTTCCATCTAAGGGCATTTGAAACAATAATGAGTATCAAGGGTATCGATAAGAAAGTTTTCCCTTCTTTGTTCTCGCTATCTCTCGAGACCGTTTGCCAGCAATGGTTCTTTTCTCTTGAAAAAGAAAAGACCTCTACCTGGGAATCCATAGCAAACGCTTTCGTCGATAGGTACAAGTGCAACGTTCAAGTCGAAACTGACCATAGAGAACTTGAAATTCTCAAGCAGAAGGAGAATGAAGGCTTCACATCTTTCTTTAACAAGTGGAGAGAAACCTCAGCTAAAATGATTAAGGTACCAAGTGAAAAAGAGTCCGTGAGATTGTTCATTAAAAATCTCCAAGAAAATTATTCAAAACATCTTAAATATCAAAATAACCTTCATACCTTTAAGGCTGTTTATGATATTGGGATTAATATTGAAGATGACTTAGCTAAATCTAAAGCTGTCAACAATAACTCTAACAGTGGCTGGAAAGGAAAGAAGAACGACAATCCTTCTTCTTCCAAAACCGCCCACTCAAATAATGTTAGCACCTTTAATCTGGGAGAAGTCCTCGCCATGAACAACCAAGGACAAAAGAAACCGTTTAGGAGAAACTTCACTCCTATTGGCATGAGTTATGACACCGCGTTTGATCGACTAAATGCAAAAGTTCTTATAACTCCCATTGGACCATTTGGAAATCCACCAGTCGAGAAGAGGTCGCCTAATTGGAACCCCAATGCACATTGCAAATATCATCAAGGTAGGGGCCATTCTACTGAAAGTTGTTGGAAGCTTAAGGAAGCTATACAAGACCTAATTGACAGTAACAAGCTGTCGTTGCCTCCTGTTAGTAAGAAACCGAGTATTGACAATGCACCTCTAGCTCACACATTGGCTATCTCCAATGAAGAAAGCGAAGTTGACCCCTCATCTCTCATTAAGCCTGTCAAAGTAATCAACGTCGAAGAGGAAGAAGAAGAGATCTTTTTCGATGTCAAAGATAATCTTCCAGAACCAGTAAAAGAGGTAGAGATACGAATACTCACACTATATATGAGGGAGACATCGCAACTGTTACATGAAACTCTCAAAATTTTGAATGAACTTCGCAAGGAATATGATGAAGAACCTAAGAGAGAATTCACACCAGTAAAAATGACTTATGAGGCAAAA